ATCTCTTTATTACATGAGCTACCTCATGATCTTATCTTTATGTATAAAATAAAAGCTTGGAATGATTATGCTTTGCTGCTTTTGACCTTTTTTTCAACAATATTTATATCAACTGAATATGGAACTCTGATATCAGTAGGTTTATCATTAGTGCTTGTTGTTAAACATTCCACCTATCCTCGTATTACTATAATGGTTAGTATGAAATTATATATTATATAATATCAATTTACATTTTTTTAAAAAATTAAAATTAATAAATATTTATATTTAGGGAAGAATCGGCAACTCTAATAAATTTAAACCAATTAAAGATTTTCCAGACCAGGCAGAACATGTTGAAGGGGTTTTAGTGATTAAAATATCTGAACCTTTATATTTTGCTAATACTGGACAACTTAAAGATCGTCTTAGACGTCTAGAAGAATTTGGAGATATGAGTGTTCATCCATCAGAAGATGCAAGAATGTCACCTGTTAAAAATGTGATATTTGATATTGAAACGATGGAAGGGATTGATGCCAGGTTAACATTAAATAATTAAATTATTAAAAAAATATAAAAATGTATTACTAATATATATGTATATGTACATATTTATTTAGTGCTGTACAAATTCTTTTTGAAATAGTAGAGGCATATCATCTTCGTGATGTAAATGTTTATTTTGTGAAATTACGTCCTAGTCAAAAGAAAATGTTTGAAGGTGCAGGAATCATAGAGAAAGTTGGCAAAGAACATTTCTTCAAGTAAGTATTAACAAATAAAATAAAATATTATTAATATTATTATTATAATTGATTGCACAATTACTGACAATTTGTTTTTTTCTCTCTCTTGTAAAATAATAAAGTCGAATTCCTGATGCATTGGAATACATTAATAATGGTAGCAATAGCTTTAGTGTCAGATACGAATAAATTGATTGAACCGGTCTGAATATTTTCCATTAAAATAAAAAATCAATCAATCAAGCTAATAATAAATAATCAGCAATTGTGATTATAACAATTAATAGCATAAAAAATATAAAAATGTATATACACATGTAGAAATAATCTTTATTTATTTATTTAATATAAAAAATTCTATAGCAACCACTGAAATTGTTTCATCATCTTTGTAGTGATCGTTTATATATTGTACATAAAGAGTTTTTGCAAAGCCATCAAAAAAATCAAATATCATGTGATACGTTATCATTATCGTATATCAATTCATTATTATTTGTTACCAAATGTTGAAAATGTTCTCACTTTCAAAGGAAATTCATATGAAAGCTTCTTTGAACAAAGACTCGCTCAAACAAAAATTACATGCACACAAAATCACATAATCAAATACGACGAGTTTACGAATGAATGTGCGACATATTTGATTTAAACCTCGTGAATGGTGATACCGAAAGACAAGTGGTGTGAGCAGGTCGATTGGAAATCCTGCCCAATGTATTCTCTATTATTCATTAATGACTACAACAAATTAACCAAAAAAGATTATGAAAAACCGCAACAATTAATTACGTTGCATAACGATCAAGTTTGTCGCAAGAAACAATTATTGAGCTATATATATATAAAGGAATTGATGAACCTAGTGTAAGTAATCCATTATTTACTTGCTTCACCTCTAGAAGGTACGTACTACCAGGAAACAGGAAGAACAGGTCGGATGGAAATCCTGTTCAATGCGTTCTCTACTATTCATTCAATGACTACAAACCAACCAAAAAGAGAAAATAAGTCACGCCATCTTAATAAATATTAAAACAAAATTATACAAAATGCCCTCTAATCTAAAAACTTAGTATGGCCTTGTTATTTCAAGCTTATAACACTACAAAGCTTGATTACGATAGAAATTGTTTTACATTACGTATTCAAGTTTAGGGTGTTTCAGAATAAATCAGTCAGAGGTCGTCAATGAAACGTTGAATGGAAAAGATGTTTTGGTATTACTGACAACTGGTGGCGAGGAAAGTCTATGTTACCGGTTGCTTGCAATGGTAGAAACTGGAAGAACAAAAGAAGCAAGAATTATAATCAAGTTTATATCAACATTATGTTTGTATGGTGAAAAGAAGCTAATGACAGACAAAATCTATCTATACTTTTCTTTATTTGAAATATTTCAATATTTTTTACGTGTCGTCTCCAGTTTAAATTCATATAATAAGAGTGCGTAATATTCTAGAATTACCTTTATTCTTCAAATTAAAATATCCACGTAAAAATTATCGTTATCATTTACTTAGTTAACGGACGATCTGCACACTTTTTTTTTTTGAAAAATGAATTCACCAAAAAATACAAAAAATAATAAAATAAATAATTCAACTTTTAATCAACAACAAAAAAATAATACAACGACTAAGGCTACCACCAACACATTTTCAAACGCTTTTAAAAACAAGAAAAAAATTAATAATGAACCATCACCAGCTGTAGTACATACGGGAGAAAACATTCGCATAAAAGAACAAAAAAAAAAGATTATTTTCAAGGCAGTATTAGATTCGCCGTATAACATTAAATGGTAATTTTTTTTTATGTGAAAGTGAACTAACTGCAAGGGAAAAAATAAATAATTTTATTATTATTATTTTTAACTGAAAAAGGCCCGAGGTGCCAAAACAGAATCAAGAAATTATATTGGAAGAACTTTGCAAGTAAGTTAATATGATATTATGATTATTATAATTATTTTTATCTCTTGATAATTTACTTAATGATTAATGGTAATGATAATATGGGGTATACACAGCGTGTTATCAATTGTTGGGGATTATAATAAACAGAAAATAAAATATAAAAGATCAAAAAGTAAAAGACCAAAAAATAAACCCAATAATTTAAAGGACTCTAAAACAGCAGCAGCAGCAGCAGCAGCAGCAGCAGCAGCAGCAGCAGCAACAACAACAACAACTGCTACTACATCATCGTCGTCGTCATCAACAACTACGATAGAAGAAGTTAAAATTGAAAGCTTTTCCTCACCAAATCCACCAGAAATTTTATCAGATTTGGTAATTGGAATAAATGAAGTAACGAAATATCTTGAAAAATCAATAAGTCAATCTAATAATAACAATCATATGAAATCATTGATTTCAGCGATTCCAAAAAAAACAAATAACAATGATAACAATGGAAAACATCAAAAACATCATCATCAACCGTTAAACGTAATATTTGTTTGTAAATATGATATAAGTCCATCGCACTTATATTCACATCTACCTATTATGGTGTGTTTAGAAGGAAAAGTTTTACTTGTACAATTACCCATCAATTCGATCAACAAAATTTCTAATAATATTCATATTAAAAGATGTTGTTGTATTGGTGTAAAGGTATAGTATATGTACTATGAATTTTTAAATATTTTTTTTTAAATTTTATTACAATACTAATTATTATTTACAATAAGGATAATTCAAAAAAAGAGTTTAGCAAGTTATTTAATTTGATTAATGAAGGTCAAATAAAACCCATAAAAGCATCTTGGTTGAAACCATTTGATCAAGAAATAAATAATGGTGACGATAATCAAGAGGATAAAGAACAATTGTTATTATTAAATAAAAAACGTAAATTAGAAGAAGACTTTAATTCTAATCTCGATTCTAATAATATTAATACCACAATATCGGTAACAGCGACAGCAACAGTAGTAAATTCTTCTTCCACCACAACCACTAATAACACTAACGAAGATTTCAGTATGAGAAAGAAGGTGAAATACATTCCAACAAATATTAAGCAGCTTTTTAATGCTACATCAAATGATAATAAAGAAAAAAAGAAAGAAAGAAAATTAAAATATAAAGAATTAAAAAAATTTAATAAAAATAAAAATTCCAAATAAAAAAGTCTAAAAAATATTTATTTGTTTTCTATTAATTTAAATTATTAATTTACATCTATATATTTAACCATTTATCTATTTTCACAATATAATTTAAGAGGAAGAAATAATTCTTTTGATCACCTATTTATATATATATATTGAAATTAATTAATATTTTTTTTGATATATTATCAATTAGAATAAAATAAAAAAATTATCTTACCGAATTCTCTAATGGCAAAGGATCTTCAACACATCTTCTGAAAGCATTTGAAGTTAATTCTTGTAACATTGTATTTATTAATCTGATATATATAAATACATACAAAATTAATAGATGTAATGATAATAATAATAATAATAATAATAATAAGGGATAATTTATTCCTTGATTCATTCATTGTTATTACCTTTCATCATCAATAAATTTCCAAAATTTTATTCTAACAAATTCAGAATCAAGTTGAATTTGTTGAAATGATCGATTTGTCAATAATTGTAGTCTAATCATTTCCACCCATTCCTTCATAGCAAAAAAAATTGTTAATAGTTATGATAGAAATTGCCTTAAAATTTTTTTGCTCACCAAAAAAAAATTTTATAATTTACCTTTAATAAAATTTTAATTAATCCCATCATAACGCCATTCCTATTCATTTCCACAATACCAAATATTTCTATCCTATCACTAAATAATTTATCAATATGAGAAATCAAATGTATTGAACTATTATTAAAGGTATTATTTGGTGAAGTAGCTGCTGCTTTAAGACTATTGACATTGGTGTTGTTGTTGATTGAGTTGACTGAATTTTTTGATGAATTTGAATTGGAATAATATGAAGATTTCTTGATTGAATTTATACTTAAGAGATTTTGATCTATAAATTAATTTTTTTTTTAAAAAAACAAAAATGTTTAGAGGCAAAAAATCAATATTTTCTTTTTCCCCTTCCAACAAAAAAATTTTTTTATACCTTCCAAATTTTTATTTTCAATAATTTCTTCTATTCCTTCATCACCTTCACATACTATTTTAACATCTTTTTCAATGATTGATAAACTTGTTAATATTTCATGCCAAATAGGTGATACCTTATTGATTCCTAAAGAAGGAGATATTAATGCCAATGATTGATTATCATCATTATCATTATTGGCTAACGTAGATGTAGATGACGGTAGCGATGGCAATGGCGATAAATAAAATTTTCTTATTATGAAGGCAATTTCATTTCCAACTATTTCAACATATTTTTCCAAGAATTTCTATTTAAAAAATATATATTAATATTTTGTTTAACAAAATTAAAAAAAAAAAACCAAATTCTTCCTTTAACCTGGGAATTATCTTTAGAAATTTCAATTATTTCCCTGAAATCTTGTGACAAAACTTTTGAAATGTAATTATTATCAGAATTGTCATGATTGCCATTTTCTTTGTTATTATTAAAGGGATTAAATCTTATTTCATATAATTCATTGCTAATAAAAATGTTGTTGTTGTTGTTGTTGTTAATGTCATTATTATTATTATATAACTTGGTTGAATAAATTATATAAATTTGGTTTATTATAGATTCACTAAAATCTAATAGTACACGAGACATTAATAGTAATAAATTTGGTCTATTTGAAATTTTCGGTGAACCCAATTTCTAAAGAAAAATTTAAAACTCGATAATTAATAATAATGATAATAGTAGCAGTTTTCTAAATATAAATAAAATGTTGTAAATATATATGCTTTACCGTCATATCATTAATTAATAAAACCCAAAATTTTTTAATTTCAATTTTTAATTTTAATAACATATTTTGTGATTCAATCTTTTCATCTACTATAATTATATCAGATTTAACATACTCCTAAAGGACAAATATTTGGAAACGCAATAATAATAATTAGTGCTATAATAATTAATATAATTAATTAAACTGCCAACTGTATTTTTTTACCTCTAATAACCTTAAACAAGTTCCAGTTAAATAATTTATAAGCTCATATTCCATTTTATTTATAAACTTTAATAAATTGATATTATCATCACTACCACCACTATCGTTATAATTAATAAATTTATCTAAAATAACAAATATTTTTTATTAATAAAAAAAAAATTACCAATAAATAATATATTATTTTTTGTTTTACTCACCGATAATAATATCGTTAGCTCTTCCAAATAATTTACTAAATACTTTAGTTTGATTTTCATTGATCATAATAATAACTCTATCATTTAAGTTACCAATACTAGATAATCCATTACATGATTTTATTGAACAATAAAGGTTGTTTAATAAATTGAGGTGTATTGTTGGTTTAAAATCATTTAAATTATTCTGTGTAGAAGAAAAAAGATATTATATATAATATGATGTTTAATATTATTATAAAAATAATAATAATAAACTTACTGGTAACTCTAATAAATTTTTTACAATATCAAAATATTCATTTGATATTAAATTAACGAATTCCGATAAATCTCTTTTAATCTCTTCTCTATCCTGAAAAATCAATTAATATTAATATCAATATCAGTATTATTTTTATTCCTGATTAATTAGGTTCGAAAAGATTACCTCAATTTCTAAATTTGGAGAAATTAATTTCATTATATCATTAATATTATTAATATTAATAATATTTCTTGCTGCCGGGGATTTTGCTGGAGATTTAATAAAATCTTTTTTTATTGGTGATAAAAATATTTCAATAAAAGACCCTACAAATTTATTTAACTCTTTTAAAAATCCTTCATTCAAAATTTTTAATTTATTTATAACAATATTTGAATTTTGATCTTTTTTATTTTCTTCTTTTACTTCTTCCTGATCCTGATCCTCATCCTCGTCCTCTTTGTCCTCCTCTGCTTCTATTACTTCTTTTTTTATATTGTTATTTATACTATTGATTGATTCATCAGAAAGTTTTTCGATTGTTGAAATTAAAAGTTTTGATAAATAATTTGTTTGACTAGAGAAAGTTTTTTAAAAAAATTTTTATAAGCATATGCATTAAATATAACAAGTAATAATAATTATTATTTTAATTATATTACAGTTTTAAATATTCTTTTGCTAATTCTTTTGTAGATTCTTTTAATGCCAATAATAATATCATATTTTCCATTATTTCATCTCCAGTTGCCTAAAAACAACAATCACATTATTATTGATTAATCTTCCACAATACAATATAACATCATAACATATTATATATATTATTAGAAAACAATAACAACTAATGATGGAAGCCAAATAAAAAAATACTTACATCATTTTTTGTCATATTTTCTCTTATATTTTTAATAATTTTTTTCATAATTTCTTTACATTCATTTTCAATTGAATTGAAAATTGTTAATTCTCTATAATATTCTAATATCTTTGTGGTTTTTACATAATAAATTACTGCTTTTGAATATGACTTTTGATTTAAACATTGATTTAATCTTGTTGGTAATTCAAAAACAAATTGAACCTATTAAAATAAAATAACATAAAAATCAATAAAAAAAAAAATGTAAATATATTAAATATATTATGTTTGTGTTTGTTGAATTTTTAAGAAACCTTTTTTAATAGATCATGGACTCTAGTTAATTGAATCATCCTATCTCTTCTAGAACTTAAAGATGAATTTAATGAATCACATATATTTGTAATATTTGACATATTACTTGAAAGCTGTTTTATTCCCGATTCCATATTTTCAACATTATTTTTCATCTATAAAAAATTTATTTTAATGGTAACAGTAATGATCATTTATTATGATTATTGTTTATAATAATTAATAATTATTACCACCATTAATTATTATTGCTACTAATGATAAATACCTTTTCAATAGTATCAGTTGCACTAATAAATTTACTATAATTCTCATAAACCAAAGTTTTCATATCTCCATTAAGCTGTCTAATTTCTAATTAGAAAAATTTTTATAAATATATATATATCACTCAAATACAACTCCAGATCAATTCCTTTCAATTTATTTATTTACCTGTGATCAAATCATTATCTCTTTGCATTAATTCATTTAAATGTTTTTCACCAAGTAAACCTTTAAAATATTTCTCTGTATCAAATCCAGCATTATCTATATATAAACACATGTATTTGATGTAAGTGGTGTTTCATTCCCTTAATTACCATTCTCGCTTCTCAATAATTTATTAATTGATTTGGTTTTACTCACCTATATCTAAAGGATCGGCTTTTTTGCCATCTGGACCTAATCCATAATAATTTCTTAATAAATTTTTTGCTCTACCTCTATTAGGTAATGTTAATGTTATTGGTGCTAAAGTTGTATTAGATATAGAAAGATTGCGTTGTTGTTGTATTATTTTTTTTTGATTTTGATTTTGTTCTTGGTTTTGCATATTTTCTTGATTCTTTTTTTTTAAAAAATCTTTTTTATTATTATGATATTTAATTCGTGAAACGTATATGGAAAAGAAATAATTGTTGAATTGTTATACAAAGTTTTATGTCAATATCAAACTTGCAGGAAAAATGTCAAAAAACATGAAAATCAAAAAAAAAAAGGAAAACTATGTAGGATGTCGAGATTTCGAAGGGTTTCTCGTAATATTTTATACGGGCCATGCTGCAACAAAACCAGACTAAGTGAACATTTGCGTTACCAAAAGATCACAGGGTTCTTACTATGATTGTGATTTTTCTATTTCTTGTTTCAGAAGGGAAAACATTGTTTGAATAAATTACACGTTCAAAACAAAAATTTCATAATTATTACATTCAAGGCTATTATAGATTTCTGCCAAATGCAATTGCTATAATGGTTTTTTATCTTATAATATACTAAAATTTTTTTCTTGGTTGAATCATAAAGCATTACTGTTGTTATTTAGCCCTTTCCTTGAATATGAATATCTTTGTCCCCACTATTGTATCATGTCTATTCCAATATTCATAATGATTATACAATATGCAATTGATTTGATTGCATCTCTAAGTAACAATAATACTAAGACTATCCAGAATGAACCTTTTAAGTGAAAAGTCACATAATAACTTGACAAGTAAAATCGGCAACGAGTCTATCAGATATATACAATATATTATATTTAAATTCCTTTTGTATACCTTTCTTTATATTTGAGAAAAAAAAATATTAGAAGAAAGGAACATCCATTGAAATATATTTATGATAATGAATTATTGATTCTAGAATTGGTTGCAGCTAAGCCTGTGACTAGGTTTTGATAGATTTTGGCCACAACTGCAACTAGAGTTCATTTGGGAGAATCAGTCATGAATTCATTACTTGAGAAAAGGTAGCAATTATTTAATAACGAAATTTATTCAATTCGCGAAACATTTGTGTATTTCCGATTTTTATTATTCGCGAACAAAGCGATTCTTTATTTATTATTAATTAATTAAACCCATAGGATGACATAAAACAAATTAATGGAGAAAAACATATATACTGACATCCATAATGGGAGGATAAAGACCAACGATTCTAGGATCAATTTCCAATTTATAAATTTTTTTATTTCGAATCATAAAAAATAAATAAACTTTTAAAATATTATAAAATCATATAGAACCTAACTTTTATATAAAAAACATTGTTTAATTGTATATAATAATTAATAAAAGAAAAACATCAAAAAAATAATATTGTATATATTTGGATAAAAAAACTAAATACTATTCAAAAGTTGTAAAATTTTCATCGTTCGTTGACGAAATAGATCCGTTTACATGAAGGATTATCATTACAAATACTATTGTGAAAATTGATGATGGCGGCGGTGGTGATGATGACGACGTGGTGGTAATGGTGGTGATGATGGTGGTTGTGGCGATGATGATGGTGGTTGTGGTGGTTGTGATATAGGAGGCTCGTTGTTTTTATTATCACTGTATTTGTTGTTATTGTCATTATCGTTGTTATGGTTGTTATTCATTGAATTAAGAAGATCTGAGGGGGAAAATTCAATTATACTGTCGTAGTTATTCGCCGAATTAATATTAAGAAGATTTTCTGTATCAAAAGATTCGTTGTATTTGTTGTTATTGTCATTATTATTGCCATCTGCTGTGTCAAAAGAAGGATAAAATTCTTGAGGAGAAATTTCGCTGGCAACAGTTTTATTATAATCGTAATGTATCATATGTAAAGGTAGGTTTCTTTCTGTTTGTATATTATTCCAGCATCACGAGCTAAATCTTTATAATAGTTTTTAACATGTAAAGATTCCCCTTCCCAAAGCTTTCCCGCCAAAGATGAAATCCGAGAAACCGTTAGTCTTTCACCCACCACCTCCTTCATTACCATGTATCGATAAACAATAAAAGCATTTGGGAATTTATAAGACTTTGGCTTCACCATTCCGACAATATCACTAGATTTAATGTCGGGTAGGAATTTAGGTTTATATGATATATATGATTCTGTAATCAAATCAAACAACTTTTTTTTTTTACTTTCTTTTTTCATAATTTTTTTCATTTAAAAGGAAACAAGGAAAAATTTTTAAATTGAAAAAAGTAAAAATCGTTATTTATTTATCACACAATATTAATATTAATTCATGATACGTGAGACTAGGACCAGAGAAATCTTTCCCGAAAAAACCGGATAATTGGTCAAATTAGAGCCTTCCTATTATTTAACAAGTATGGCTGATGATGGCTAGCCTTGTCAGTTAATTTCAAAGAAATACATTCGGTCCAACCTCGTTATAACGGATGTTATACGTGAAATTTACAAACTTATTATTCACCAGTCGAGTTATAACGAATTTATATGTTTGCAAGAGATTCGACTGTACCAAATAATAAAATATGGCTCTTTTAGGCTTCCATAAAATTCCTTTATTTATTTGTGACCGATTATTTCAGTCTTTTACTCGTTTGTATTTATTGGCCGTAACCTGACCAAAGCAAATGTTATCTTTTGCCAAAGCTCCACAATTGTTGTCTTTTACCGAGGCACTACTCTTGCTGCTTTTTACCCAGATTTTTAAGGATTAAACTTTTTCATTTGAAATAATCAGCACGAGCACGAAAGCATTATTTAATGATTTTATTAATTTTGAAGACTAAAACCGTATGAGAATTGGGAAAGTAAAAAACAAAGAGTCTTAAAAACATAGACGTGTATACGACTGTGTACCGTAAACTCTACTAATACCCTAGATTAAAAGGATTAGTTTTTCTTACAGACTAGGATAAAATTTATTTTTCTCTCTGAAAACTTTCATTAAGACAGTAAGTTTCTTAGAGGCGCACAACAACAAGTAAATTGTATTCTTTTCAAATGACATCCAAGATTTTGATACCTATTAACAGCAATAATGCAATCAAAGAATCTATACTTTCTGATACTTGAATAAAAATTTAAATATTTTTTTTCAAAAGATTCAATTTCATAAATTACTCACCTCCTCACACATATTTGATAAAAATGAAAAAACAGATTAAAAAATAATTACTATGAGATTTTAAAACATAACCATACAAGTTTTTTTAAAATCCTGAAGCATTTTTTCTAGCTAGATGAAGTCTGTGTGATATAGAATGGTTTGAAGTTATGAATGTATTGAAAAATTTTTAAAATATTGCTGCAGCACCATTTATGTATCCCAACAATTAAAGTAATTGTTAGTTAAAATAAAAAATAAACTTTTATTCAATTCCAAAATAAATAATATTATCAATATATTTTCACCATCAGTTGAGTCTACCTAAATATCTCATATATAATATACATTTATCATTGTCAATACTATTGATTTCATCAATCATTATACTCCAATGAATCGAGGAATTTAGTTCTTCAAAAAAAATTTTTTTTTAATTATATAAGCTGTATATACATGTTGTCAAATTAATTTGGCTTTGACTCAATTCCCAAATCTCAATTTTTTAATTAATTGCGTCAAAAAGTCACCTGATTGAGTCAAGTGATCAAACTATTTCTACCACATGTATAAACTGTACTATCTAAAAAATCAAACCGGGTACATGATTTTTACAGATCCTATAGTTTTTCTAAGGAAGCAGGTTTCAAAGTAGAAAATGGTTAATTTTAGAAATCAAGTAATTAGTTGTTGATCCTTTTGTGAATGACGATTTTTAATTTTTAACCTTGCAATGTAAAGTTTTCCTGGAGAAGAAGATTAAGATTTTATAAATTCAATGAGATAAAATTCATGATATAATGTGGTCATATAACAAAGTTAATGTATTTTTTGTGTACGTTTTTCCAATTAGATCAATTTAATGCATTTATTTAAAAAGTTTAGAAGGTTAAAAATAAATAAATTTTATTCTAATATTCTTCTCATATAAATAATTTTTGCGTCTTATAATAATTTTAAAAAAATTATATTTTACTAGAAAAATCAACTATTCAAATCATTAAACCCAAATATTTTAAGTCCAACATAAGTTCTATCAATAGATGACTCTTCATCACCTGCAAATGCTAATAAATATCCTTTTGGATGCCATGCAACCGAATTTGTAGCTGCTTTTGTTTTTATTTTATATACTGTGCTCCCATTTTCTACATTTGACTTTAAAAAAATTTTAATATTAGTATTAATAAACTAGTATTATTATTATATTATTATTATGATGATGATGATGATGATATTTACCACTATTATGTGTTCATCTTCCGATGCTGCTGCCAAGTAATCACCATCATATGTAAAACTTATTGTTCTGACAGGAAATCTTTAATTTATAAATTATTTAAAAATTTGCAATGAATTAATTAATTCACATGTTGTAATAATATGATGATGATAAATATATTTACTCCAATTCTCCAAATGTTCTTAAACAAACACATTCTTCTATATCCCATAAAGTTACAAGTGCATCTGCTCCACCTGCTGCAACATATCTAATGATCATTATTTTAATAAATAATAAATCAAATAATAATATTACTAATTTTTTTTTAAAACAAATTCTCAAATTTACATTTACATTTTTTTCAAATTGTTCTTACCTTTCCCTAGGATCAAAGTCTATGCAATAACAATTTGCTGTATGACCTCTTAAAGTATGAATGTGTTTTAATGATGGCCATTCTAATATTTTAATTGCTCCTGATCCTGTGGTTAAGAAAAACATTGTACAGTCATGATTCCAACTTATTTCATTAATCTAAAATAATTTTTGTTAAATATTGATATATACATATATATATATATATAATTATTATAATATAATAATAAAATAATAACAATGTACTTCATCTCTTGAATCATTATCTTCAAAATAATGATTAACAATGGAAGGTAGTGTAGATGGATTTTTCTTATTATCTATAAATGATATTTTATCATCCTAAGAAAATAGATAAATAAAATAAATATTTTTTATCTTTTATTTTCCTCCTCATTATATAATAACAATCTCACAATCGATGTTAATATAAACCTTATCTCCTACTGCTACCATATTACCGTCCCAACTCCAACTTATATTAATATTTTCGCCATCAGTTTTAACAACATGGATACACCTTTTAGGGTCTAAAATTAATAAATAAATTTATTCTGTCAATTGACAATTAACACTGTAATAATAATAATAATAATAATAATAATAATAATAATAATCATAATACCTCTTGTATCCCAAAATCTAACAGTTTTATCAGTTGACGCTGTTGCTAATTCATATGGTGATTGAGGGTTCCAGCATAGCTGATCAACACTTTCCTCATGTCCTAATAATTTAACTGAATACTTTATATCTTCCTATATAAAAATAAAAATAAATGATTTGAATGAAATTTATTGAAAAAAATATATATATATAAGATCACTATAAATTGATAAATTTAAAAAACCTGATCGGCTTCCCAAAGCCTAACTGTTTTATCTACAGAACCACTAGCAAGCTTTCTACCATCACAATTCCAAGCAACTGTTCTTACAGTTTTTGTATGTCCTATCAAAAGTTTTGTTCTAGAATTTTCAAAATATTCTTTTGGCTATAATAATATGTGTGTGTGTTATAAAAAAAAAACTAACTAAATAGATACGATATATATATTCATTTTTTTGCTTTTAAAACAAATCTTTACTTGTAAATTGGCAACATGATAGGTAATTGAAAACATAGGTAAGGAGCAACATTAAAAAAATTTGCACGTTCATGAAGTGCTTCTTTAACAAGTTTATACTGTCCATAATCTAATTCTTTAAATGCCTTTTCCAAATATCTTACACCACCATGTACAAGTTTAGTTGAACGAGATGAAGTACCAGATGCAAAATCATCTCTTTCTACCAATGCTACCTTCAATCCTCTGGTAGCAGCATCAAGCGCTACACCACTACCGGTTGCACCGCCACCAATTACCAAAAGATCAAAATGTGGTGACGATGGTGACGAATTATGTTTGGTGGTGGAAGCATCGTTTAAATCTTTGTTTAATCCTTTAAGCAAATCTAACATTACTTTTCTGGAAGGTGGCGGCCATGTTATATTTGATAAATTATCATCATCTTGATAATCTTCTAATCTAACAGAGTTTAAAATATTTGAATAATAAGAAGGGTTTGTTGATAAGGGTGATAGATTATCATTAGCGATGGTAGTTGTAGTTGGAGTTGTAGTAATAGCAGTATAAGGTGTTTGAATAAATAATTTAGCTAATGATTTGTACTTATTCAACTTTTTTTTCTCTTCTTGATTTAAGTTATCATAATTCTTGTCGTTGTTATTATAATTATAATAATAATAATACGTTGTTGTGGTTGCTATACCTAACAAACTAGTGGCATATAATGTATACTTTTTATTTAGAATTTCCTTCAACATTTTTTTTTCATTGGAAAAATAAATAAATAAAAATCTTTGATCTGTACTACTACAAAAAATTTGAATTCCTTTGAATTTTTATCGGGCTAATTTATTATGTTACATATATAATCAATTTAAATTAGTAATATGTCGTATTACCATGACGCATTTCCGCTATATAGTTGTGATTTGAAAAATTTTAATATATATCCTTAAGGGTAGAGGATCTACATAGTACAAAAATTGTCCACTAAATAGTAATATAAATAAAACGCGCTTATTATCTTTTATATTGTTGAAAATTATAATTAACTACATGTAAACAATTAAAAAGTTAGTGTTAAAAATAAAAACACATATTATTAACAAGATTCAAATTCTTAACGAATGTATAATTAAGTTAGCAAATGTATATGTTAAACTTGTGGAATGACTGTTAAAATTGTGAAGGTTTATTTAAACCACATAACTTCCATAAACATGTAGATATTTATTTAACTTACTTAAAGTCGCAAATGCCTTATTAATATCTATATCACATGTTTATGATCTATGAAATGGGATTAAACTAATTCCTTAGTTTTATTTATACATATGTTTAGTAGTTTTAGTAATAATACTAAAAATGAGAAAGGTAAGCAAATAAATATATTTCGCATTTTTTATTTATTTAAAATTCCACACTGGATACAATACATGAAAACTCACAATTCTTCCTTAGAAAAATTTAAAAGAGCAAAATGGTGGATACATGCTTCGTGACATACAAAGTTCTAAAAATCCATATTATCATGCTATTACAATGAAAGGTGATGTATCAGCTGGTAATATATTTCCATTGAGTGTAGGTAAGGAAAACTATTGCTTTGAAATTAAAGTTAAACAGAATTATCCAGTATATCTTGCTTTTATGATATATTCAAGAAACTGAAGAGATCATAGTCTATGATTTTTTATTTCCACTAATTATAACACAAGGAAGAGAACCAAGTATTTTGATTTTGTAAAATAATAACAATAACACAAACAATTCTTGTAACTAAAGAATGGGTGAAGGTTCTGAAATAGATAAAAGGCATGCCTATCTGGATAAATCAAGAGAAAAAATATTTGAAGTTGTGAGAAGCAATACACGTGTAGGAAATACAGTCCACGCACTCTCTCTATAATGGATTTTCCTGTCATGGACTGAGAACTTAAGCGCAATTTATATGTCCCCAATTAATATTAATATTAATACATAAATTATTATAGATTCTCTCTATAACAGATATTATTTCCTAATACTACTAAACCATGTAGAGAGAATGAACTGTATATGCTGGCGAAGTATTTTGCAAAAATGGTGATAATCTAAGTCCTCTGTGTGGAAATTGTGAAAATTGTTTATGAGTACAAGCTAAGCATGTATTTAAAGTTATTTGATGTAATTGAGGAAGTAGTGGGTAAATTGAATGAAAATGGTAAAATAACTAAAAGACATTATACAGGTTTATTGTCGATTGAAATGTGACCACGAAGAACTCGCTGATAAAACTTTTAAACAAAAGAGGTTGATTACGTTTGCTTAATTGGTTTATAATATGTAAAATAATAGAAAAATAATGATAAATTTATATAGACCAGATTTAAACGGAAGCACATTACAGACAAACCTTCATATATTGGTATCGTTGTTGTTCTCTACAAAAATAAAAATATTTTTATAATATTTGCAGATCATAATGATAAATCCCATTTATAGGGAAGTCTCAACCCTTAAATTTTAAACCAAATGTCACCTTATTCTCATAATTCATCATCTAACAATATCCATAATAATAGTGCTTCAGCAGCAGCAAATCAGTCTAATAACAGTAATAGCAATATATCTTCTTCAAAAAGAAACATTAGAAAGCCTGTACCACAAGGTCCAGGACCAAATCAAGAAGTAAAGATTTTTTATTTTTTTTTAAGATTTTTTTAAAAAAATTTTTTTTTATAACACACACACATATTATTATAGCCAAAAGAATATTTTGAAAATTCTAGAACAAAACTTTTGATAGGACATACAAAAACTGTAAGAACAGTTGCTTGGAATTGTGATGGTAGAAAGCTTGCTAGTGGTTCTGTAGATAAAACAGTTAGGCTTTGGGAAGCCGATCAGGTTTTTTAAATTTATCAATTTATAGTGATCTTATATATATATATTTTTTTCAATAAATTTCATTCAAATCATTTATTTTTATTTTTATATAGGAAGATATAAAGTATTCAGTTAAATTATTTATTCAAACACCTTATACTGCTATTACTACAACTCCAACTACAACTACCATCGCTAATGATAATCTATCACCCTTATCAACAAACCCTTCTTATTATTCAAATATTTTAAACTCTGTTAGATTAGAAGATTATCAAGATGATGATAATTTATCAAATATAACATGGCCGCCACCTTCCAGAAAAGTAATGTTAGATTTGCTTAAAGGATTAAACAAAGATTTAAACGATGCTTCCACCACCAAACATAATTCGTCACCATCGTCACCACATTTTGATCTTTTGGTAATTGGTGGCGGTGCAACCGGTAGTGGTGTAGCGCTTGATGCTGCTACCAGAGGATTGAAGGTAGCATTGGTAGAAAGAGATGATTTTGCATCTGGTACTTCATCTCGTTCAACTAAACTTGTACATGGTGGTGTAAGATATTTGGAAAAGGCATTTAAAGAATTAGATTATGGACAGTATAAACTTGTTAAAGAAGCACTTCATGAACGTGCAAATTTTTTTAATGTTGCTCCTTACCTATGTTTTCAATTACCTATCATGTTGCCAATTTACAAGTAAAGATTTGTTTTAAAAGCAAAAAAATGAATATATATATCGTATCTATTTAGTTAGTTTTTTTTTTATTTCTTAAAAGTTTTTATTATCATTACAATATTTTTTATTATTTTATTATTTTTTTCCTTGATTTATTTAATCAATTATCTTTAATTCAACTCATTTTATCGATTGATTGATTGATCGATTGATTGATTGATTGACTAATAGATCAATTACGTTTCCTTTCCCTTTATAAAATACATGATGATTTTTTAGATGGTGGCAAGTCCCTTATTATTGGATTGGATCAAAAACGTATGATTTACTTGCAGGCAAAGAAGGAGTAGAAAATTCATATTTTCTAACATGTGGTAAAGCACTTGATGCTTTTCCTATGCTAAATAACGACAAACTTGTTGGTGCAATGGTTTATTATGATGGTTAGAAATCATCTTGGAATCAATGAATGATTTATTTATTTAAAAAATGATTATTATTATTATTGCTATTATTAATAATTATATTAAATAATAATATTTTTTTAGGTCAACATAATGATGCTCGTATGAATGTTGCAATTGCTTTGACTGCTATATGTCATGGTGCGGTTATTGCAAACCATGTAGAAGTCTTAAATTTACTAAAAGATGAATTTAATGTAATTAATGGAGCAAGAGTTAGAGATAATTTGACAGGTGAAGAATGGGATGTTAAGGCCAAGGGTGTTATAAATGCTACAGGTGCATTCACAGATAGCATACGATCAATGGATGATCCAAGTAATAACAATATTGTTGCACCATCATCTGGTACTCATGTGATATTACCAAATTATTATAGTCCTAGAAAAATGGGTTTACTTGATCCTGAAACATCAGATGGTAGGGTTATTTTCTTCTTGCCATGGGAAGGAAACACCATTGCTGGTACAACTGATTCATCTACAGAAGTAACTTTTGATCCTAAACCTAAAGAGGAAGAGATTCAATGGATTCTACACGAAGTTGGAAGATATTTAAACCCTGGTTTGTCTTTATTATTATTAATATATATCGGTAACACATATATAAATGATAATGAACAATATTAATTATGAATGATTTCAGATATCAAAGTACGAAGAGATGATGTTCTTGCTGCTTGGTCAGGTATTAGACCATTGGTTCGAGACCCTTCAGCAAAAAACACAGCAGAGTTGGTGAGAAATCATATGATTAATGTTAGTAGTTCAAAACTGATTACTATTTCTGGTGGTAAATGGACTACTTACCGTGCAATGGCACAAGATACTGTTGAAAAAGCAATTGAAGTTTTTGGTAGATATTTATTAACTTATATATTTAATATTATTGATGATAGTTATAATTGTTTATGTTAACCACTTTTATTTTATTTTGGAAGATTTAAAGCCAACCAATGAATGCATTACAGAAAAAGCAAAACTTATCGGATCTCATGGTTATTCTAGAACAATGTTTATTAAACTTATACAACATTTTGGTATAGAAACTGAAGTAAAAACATATACATTTATTTCTTTGTATATACAGTTGTACCTCA